TGCAAAGCAGGCTCTTATCTGACTCTGGAAAAGTTACTTCGTTCAAGGAGTGCTCTGTGTATGTGTTGTCATGCACATACCAAGACAGAGGCTCTTGTGTGTGAGGCAGAGCTCAAACGAGCGCATAACAGAGGCAGATTTGATTTCGTCAAAGGCTTTCATGGCCAGAATCACTGGGTTCTTGTGAGTTTTCCGGACTGTCTGGCTATGGTCCAGAAGCATCCTCTCCTGACATTTCGCCCACATCTATGCCGGGCATCCTCAGAGGCCTTTGCCGCAACATTCACAATCACAGAGGATGTCTGCCATAAAATATGTCTATAAGAAAATATGTCCAAGTCTAGAATTCTAAGAGTGGACTTGCTGGCTTTTGAGTTGGACTAGATGGTCCTTGAGGCTCCTTCCAAGTCTATAATTCTAAGACTGGACTAGATGGCCTTTGGGTTGGACTAGATGGCCCTTGGGGTCCCTTCCAAGTTTAGAATTCTAAGAATGGACTACATTGCCCGTGGGGTCCCTTCCAAGTCTGGAATTCTAAGAATGGACTAGATGGCCCTTGGGTTCCTTCCATGTTTAGAATTCTAAGAATGGACTAGGTTGCCCTTGGGGTTGCATCCAAGTCTGGAATTCTAAGAATGGACTAGATTACCCTTGGGGTTCCTTCCAAGTCTGGAATTCTAAGAATGGACTAGGTTGCCCTTGGGATTCCATCCAAGTCTAGAATTCTAAGAGTGGACTTGATGGCCCTTGAGTTTGGACTAGATGGTCCTTGAGGCCCCTTCCAAGTTTAGAATTCTAAGACTGGACTAGATGGTATTTGAGTTGGAGTAGATGGCCCTTGGTGCCCCTTTCAAGTCTAGAATTCTAAGAGTGGACTAGATGGCCCTTCCGTTGGACTAGATAGCCCTTGAGGCTCCTTCCAAGTCTATAATTCTAAGACTGGACTAGATGGCCTTTGGGTTGGAGTAGATGGTCCTTGGTGTCCCTTCCAAGTCTAGAATTCTAAGAATGGACTAGATAGCCCTTGAGGTTCCTTCCAAGTCTATAATTCTAAGAGTTGACTAGATGGCCCTTGCGTTGGACTAGATGGCCCTTGAGGCCCCTTCCAAGTCTAGAATTCTAAGAGTGGACTAGATGTCCCTTGGAGCCCCTTACTTTACTATTGATATCAAGGGTCTCATCCCATACCTTCACATTTGACTCAGATTGTCACAGATTGTATCTGCATTCCATTATCCACAACTCCAAACCTTAGATATGATTATATTGCATATTTGACTCTGATGGAGTGGACTCCACGGAGACTCCTTTCGAAATATATCCCTTCAAAAGGATGCAGCACTTCATGTCTTCCTCTTAATGTCACTCTGTCAAGAGTTTGCATGACTTGTTGCCTAGAGGCATCCCTCTCTTCTTACTCTTATTGTGATTTAAATGTAGTTGTTGTTATCCAGAGTGCCTGCAATTGGCTGTCTTTGGTTTATGGCACCCTAGAAATGGCTCCTAGGCAGGGCTTGGAGGGTGCCTTCCTTCATGGCAGAATGGGGTTGGACTGGATGACCCTTTGGGGTCCCTTCCAGCTTTGATTGCATCCAGTCGGGCTTTTTGTATATTACATATTCACAGCCAGTGTGATTTCTGTTTCGCTTGCCCTTTCCAAAAAGGTTAGCCCTCTTCCTGTTTCGCGTGTGCGGTTGTCACAACCGGCGTCACATGTTGAGCTCCCAGTTTGGCCAAAATGGAGGAAGTTGAGTTGTATGTGCGAGTCTTCCTTCTGTTTTGGTGCATTTATTGATCGGGCTTTCTATGTTTCCCTTCCGAATCGAGCAGCACATGTTCTATGTGTTGTTGAAGGCTTTCATGGCCGGAATTGCTGGGTTGCTGTGAGTTTTCCGGGCTGTCTGGCCATGTTCCAGAAGCATTCTCTCCTGACATTTTGCCCACATCTATGGCAGGCATCCTCAGAGGTTGTGAGGTCTGTTGGAATCTAGACAAGTGGGATTTATACATCTGTGGAATTATGTCCAGGGTGGGAGAAAGAACTCTCGTCTGCTTGAGACAGAAGCATTCTCTCCTGACGTTTTGCCCACATCTATGGCAGGCATCCTCAGAGGTTGTGAGGTCTGTTGGAATCTAGACAAGTGGGATTTATACATCTGTGGAATTATGTCCAGGGTGGGAGAAAGAACTCTCGTCTGCTTGAGACAGAAGCATTCTCTCCTGACGTTTTGCCCACATCTATGGCAGGCATCCTCAGAGATTGTGAGGTCTGTTGGAATCTAGACAAGTGGGATTTATACATCTGTGGAATTATGTCCAGGGTGGGTGAAAGGACTCTTGTCCATTTGGGGCAAGTGTGAATGTTGCCATTGGCCAGCTTGATTCGTATTGAATGGCCGTGCAGCATCAAAGCCTGGCTGCTTCCTGAGGATGCCTGCCATTGATGTGGGTGAAACGTCAGGAGAGAATGCTTCTGGAAACATGGCCATACAGCCCGGAAAGCTCACAACAACCCAGTTGTGAGGTCTGTTGGAAACTAGGCAGGGGATGTTTATATACCTGTGGAATGATGTCTAGGGTGGGAGACAGAACTCTTGTCTGTTGGAGGCAAGTGTGAAAGTTGCCATTGGCCACCCTGATTAGCATTGACTAACCTGGCAGCTTCAAAGCTTGGTTGCTTCCTGCCTGGGGGAATCCTTTGTTGGGAGGTGTTGGCTGGCCTTGATGGTTTCTTGTCTGGAATTTCCCTGTTTTCTGAGTGTTCTTCTTTATTTACCATCTGGGTTTTAGAGTTTTTTAATACTGGTAGCCAGATTTTGTTCATTTTCACGTTTTTTCCGCTCAAATACTTATTGTTATTATTATTATTTTACTGACACAAAACACAGTATGTCACAGCAAAGGAGATATATATGCTGGATTTTGTATCACAAAATCACAAGTCGAACACTTCCCAAGCGTCTAGGATTGTGTGATGTATTTTTTTAATTATTATTATTATATTTATACCCCGCCAGATAACACCTCCTAACGAAGGATTCCCCCAGGCAGGAAGTCTAGATCTAAGGAAGTAATGCTTACCTCTCTATTCCGCCTTGGTTAGACCACACCTAGAATATTGTGTCCAATTCTGGGCACCACAATTGAAGAGAGATGTTGACAAGCTGGAATTTGTCCAGATGAGGGCGACTCAAATGATCAAGGGTCTGGAAAACGCCCTATGAGGAGCGGCTTAAGGAGATGGGCATGTTTAGCCTGAAGAAGAGAAGGCTGAGAGGTGATATGATAGCCATGTATAAATATGTGAGAGGAAGCCACAGGAGGAGGGAGCAAGCTTGTTTTCTGCTTCCCTGGAGACTAGGACACGGAACAATGGCTTCAAACTACAAGAGAGGAGATTCCATCTGAACATGAGGAAGAACTTCCTGACTGTGAGAGCTGTTCAGCAGTGGAACTCTCTGCACCGGAGTGTGGTGGAGGCTCCTTCTTTGGAGGTTTTTAAAGAGGCTAGATGGCCATCTGTCAGGAGTGGTTTGAATGCAATATTCCTGCTTCTTGGCAGGGGGTTGGACTGGATGGCCCAGGAGGTCTCTTCCAACTTTATGATTCTATGAAGCACCCAGGCTTTGAAGCTGATAGGCTATTTAATGCTAGGGTGGCCAGTGGCAACATTACCATTTGCCTCAAGCAGACAAGAGTTCTTTCTCCTACCCTGGACAGTATTCCACAGATATATAAACCCAACTTGCCTAGTTTCCAACAGACTTCACAACCTCTGAGGATGGCTGACATAGATGTGGGCCAAACGTTAGGAGAGAATGTACTGTCGAAGGCTTTCATGGCCGGAATCAATGGGTTGTTGTAGGTTTTTTCGGGCTATATGGCCATGGTCTAGAGGCATTCTCTCCTGACGTTTCACCAGGATCCTCTCACTTCTGCAGGAGTCTACCGTGTACCATGCAGCTGTGGACAAGTCTGCATAGGGACCACCAAACGCAGCATTGCCCAGACACGAATCAAGGAACATGAAAGGCACTGCAGACTACTTCAACCAGAGAAATCAGCCATAGCAGAGCACCTGATGAACCAACCTGGACACAGCATCTTATTTGAGAACACAGAAATGCTGGACCACTCCAACAACCACCATGTCAGACTACACAGAGAAGCCATTGAAATCCACAAGCATGTGGACAATTTCAACAGAAAGGAGGAAACCATGAAAATGAACAAAATCTGGCTACCAGTATTAAAAAAACTCTAAAATTACAACAGCACAACAACAGAGAGGAAACAAACAAGGACATCTAATCACCTCTCAACAAAAGTTTGCTCTAGGCACTGTCAGGCCATTATATGCTAATCAAGGTGGTCAGTTGAAACATTCACACCCAGCTCCAGCAGACAAGAGTCCTTTGTCTCACCCTGGTCATTCCACAGATATATAAACCCTTTTCCTAGTTCCAACAGACCTCACTACCTCTGAGGATGCTTGCCATAGATGCAGGCGAAACGTCAGGAGAGAATGCCTCTAGACCATGGCCATATAGCCGGAAAAAACCTACAACAACCCAGTGATTCCGGCCATGAAAGCCTTCGACAATATAACAATACGCAGACAGCCTGGAAAACCGACAGTAACCCAGTGATTCTGGCCATGAAAGCCTTCGACAACACATTATCTTGATACGTTATTTGCAGTACTTAGTCCATAACGGCGCTCCATGCAGTCATGCTGGCCACATGACCTTGGAGGTGTCTATGGACAACGCCGGCTCTTCAGCTTAGAAATGGAGATGAGCACCAACCCCCAGAGGGGAAATCCTTTACCTTTGCCTGGTCCATACACCTGGCAGGTCAAACTTTTGAGTTTCCTTAACCTTTGTGTATGTATGTTTCATACGGGCAAAATGAGTGGGACTCAAATGGGAAGCAAGGGGAGATTTGCAGAAACCTCAAGAAGCATTTCCAGGTCTTTACTCTCTATTTCCTCGTTCCAGGTTTCCGGTGCAGCCAGCCATCCGAGTCCTGCTTGAATGGAGGAAGATGCGAGTCCTTCCTCAATGGAACAGGGGTCTGCATGTAAGTATCAAACATTATCTGATGGAAGTATGCCTTTGTTTACCTTTATATGCATGGGTTCGTCAAGGCTTTGGGAAACAGAGCTCTACGTATCTGGAAAGATTTAAGGGGGTTGATGTTTTGCTTTGTTTGTGGTGGATCTTTGGTTGTCAGGAGTTGTAGTCTGACAAGACACAACACTGGAAGACTTCTCGTAAGCAAGGTCCACTCGGGGGGGGGGGATATACACTAGAGTAGTGTTTCTCAACCTGGGGGTCGCAAAGGGGTGTTCGAGAGGTCACACAACATTTTCTGTTGGTCATGAAGGTTCTGTGTGGAAAGTTTGACCCAATTCTATCGTTGGTGGAGTTCAGAATGCTCTTTGATTGTAGGTGAACTATAAATCCCAGCAACTACAACTCCCAAATGTCAAGGTCTATTTTCCCCAAACTCCACCAGTGTTAACATTTGGGCATATTGAGTATTTGTAGAGTTTGGTCCAGATTCATCATTGTTTGAGTCCACAGTGATCTCTGGATGTAGGTGAACTACAACTCCCAAACTCAAGGTCAATGCCCACCAAACCATTCTAGCATTTTCTGTTTGTCATGGGAGTTCTGTGTGCCAAGTCTGGTTCAATTCCATTGTTAGTGGAGTTCAGAATGCTCTTTGTTTGTAGGTGAACTATAAATCCCAGCAACTACAACTCCCAAATGACAACATCAATCTCCCCCCCCCCCATTCAGATGTGGGCATATCGGGTATTTGTGCCAAATTTGGTCCAGTGAATAAAAATCCATTCTGCATAACAGATATTTACGTAATAAATATCCCGCACGCTGCAATTTCACCAGATCCTTGTCCTTGCCAAACTACAACTCCCAGGACTTCATTGCCTCTGATCCCCACCCTTTTGCACCCTCGAGTTCAGTAGAGCATCAAAGGGGATTAAAACGGTTGAGCAAGAAAGCTTTCTTCAATCCCTGTGAAGAGTGACGATGCTGCAAATGAGGCCTTTGAGATCATCGTAAGCTTTTGTTTTGAAGTCAACGCGTCGTCGGTACATTTCTTCCGACATAGGGCTCCACCCAAAATCACTTCCCATTCCAAGCCTGCAAAGTTAAATCTCAAGGCTACTTGCAGTTTGGTTGCTGTGAGTTTTCCGGGCTGTCTGGCCATGTTCCGGAAGCATTCTCTCCTGACGTTTCACCCACATCTATGTCAGGCATCCTTAGAGGTTGGAAGGTCTATTGGAAACTAGGCAAGTGAGGTATATGTTTGGTTTATATATCTCAGGGTGGGAGAAAGCAACCAGCCATGCTTTGAAGCTGCAAGGCCATTTATTGCTAATCAACATGGCCAATGGCAACATTCACACTTGCTCCAAACAGACAAGAGTTATTTCTCCCACCCTGGACATTATTTCACAGATATATAAACCCCACTTGCTTAGTTTCCATCAGACCTCGCAACCTCTGAGTATCTCTGCCATAGATGTGGGCGAAACGTCAGGAGAGAATGCTTTTGGAACATGACCCCAGACAGCCCGGAAAACTCTGAGCAACTCAGTGATTCTGGCCATGAAAGCCTTCAACAACATATCTTTATCTTGCTGTATCCTCTATCTTTCTGTTCTATCTCTATATATCTTTATTTTTTCTATCTTTTTTATTATCTCTATTTTCCTCTATCTCTGTCTATCCATCTATCTCTAAGTTTATCTGTCTTCTATCTTTTATGTCTTTGTGTATCTTTATCTTCTATATTTATGGTATATAGCTTTCTCTACTATCTCTGTCTCTATCTTCCTCTTATCTGTGTCTGTCTCTAGCTATATCTTTCTCTATCTTCTATCTTTATCTTCTATCATCTCTATGTATCTTTATCTTCTATATCTAGATATCTTTATATTTCTCTAATATCTCAATTTCTATCTTCCTCTATCTACTTTTCTCTATCTCTATCGATACGTTTATATCTCAAAGATAGAAGAGTGGTAAACATAGAGATAGAGAAAGGTAGATAGGTAGACAGACAGACAGACAGACAGATAGATAGATAGATAGATAGATAGAGGAAGAAAGGTAGACAGACAGACAGACAGACAGAGGAAGACAGACAGACAGACAGTCAGACAGTCAGACAGACAGACAGACAGACAGACAGACAGACAGACAGATAGATAGATAGATAGATAGATAGATAGATAGATAGATGAAGAAAGGTAGGTAGGTAGGTAGATAGATAGAGGAAGAAAGGTAGACAGACAGATAGATAGAGGAAGAAAATTAGGTAGGTAAGTAGATAGATAGATAGATAGATAGATAGATAGATAGATAGATAGAGGAAGAAAGGTAGACAGGTAGGTAGAGGAAGACAGACAGACAGACAGAGGAAGAAAGACAGACAGACAGACAGACAGTCAGATAGATAGATAGATAGATAGATAGATAGATAGATAGATAGATAGATGAAGAAAGGTAGGTAGGTAGATAGAGGAAGAAAGGTAAACAGACAGATAGATAGAGGAAGAAAATTAGGTAGGTAAGTAGATAGATAGATAGATAGATAGATAGATAGAGGAAGAAAGGTAGACAGGTAGGTAGAGGAAGACAGACAGACAGACAGAGGAAGAAAGACAGACAGACAGACAGACAGTCAGATAGATAGATAGATAGACAGATAGATAGATAGATAGATAGATAGATAGATAGATGAAGAAAGGTAGGTAGGTAGGTAGGTAGATAGAGGAAGAAAGGTAGACAGACAGATAGAGGAAGAAAATTAGGTAGGTAAGTAGATAGATAGATAGATAGATAGATAGATAGATAGATAGATAGAGGAAGAAAGGTAGACAGGTAGGTAGAGGAAGACAGACAGACAGACAGATAGAGAAAGAAAGAAAGAAAGAAAGATAGATAGATAGATAGATAGATAGATAGAGGAAGAAAGATAGATAGATAGAGATACACATATATCTTTCTCTACTATCTCTATCTTCCTCTATCTATCTTTCTTTCTCTTTTATCACGATGTACCTTTATCTTCTATCTCTATATATCTTTCTCTACTGTCTCTATCTTCCTCTTTCTTTCTTTCTTTCTTTCTCTATCTGCCAAATAATAATAATAATAATAAACAACTGAAAAAGCTGACACGTTATGAGGATTTAAAGATTGAACTGCAAAGACTCTGGCACAAGCCAGTCAAGGTGGTCCCAGTGGGGATCGGCACACTGGGTGCAGTGCCTAAAGACCTTGGCCTGCACTTAAACACAATCAACACTGACAAAATTACCATCTGCCAGCTGCAGAAGGCCATTTTACTGGGATCTGCACGCATTATTTGCCGATACATCACACAGACCTAGACACTTGGGAAGTATCTGACGTGTGATCCATACAACAGCCAGCAGAGTGATTTTGTCTGCTGTGGACTCATCGTGTTGTGTTTCAAATAAGAATAATAATAATAATAATAATAATAATAATATAATCAAACACTTAAGAATTGGCACTGACAAAATTACCACCTATCAGCTGCAAAAGACCACCCGATTCAGATGTGCATGCATTATTCTCCGATACATCATACGGTCCTAGACAGTTGGGAAGTGTCTGACATGTGATCGAATACAAAAGCCAGCAGAGTGATCTTGTTTGCTGTGTACTCATCTTGTTGTGTATCAAATAATAATAATAATAATAATAATAATAATAATAATAATAATAGTAATAATAATAATGACATGTGATCCAATTCAACAGCCAGCAGAGTGTCTGCTGTGGACTCATCTGTTGTGTTTCAAATAATAATAATAATAATAATAATAATCTTTATTTATACCCTGCTACCATCTCCCCAAGGGGACTTGGGGCGGCTTACATGAGGCCAAGCCCAACAATACAGCAATGCAAATAAACAACATACGACAATAAAATATAAAAATAAAATAAAATACATAAAAATATAAATAAACACCTCAAGCAATGTAAAATCATAATTTAAACACAGAAAATAAATCACAGTGGGCAGGGCCGGTAGCAAGGATGAGAAAGTTTAAAACACTGGTTGAGAAGGCAATTAGAACAGGAGACCAAAGGGACGAAAGTAGGTTCTTGTGGGTTTTTTCGGGCTATAGGGCCATGTTCTAGAGGCATTTCTCCTGACGTTTCGCCTGCATCTATGGCAAGCATCCTCAGAGGTAGTGAGGTCTGTGGATGCTTGCCATAGATGCAGGCGAAACGTCAGGAGAAATGCCTCTAGAACATGGCCCTATAGCCCGAAAAAACCCACAAGAACCTAGTGATTCCAGCCATGAAAGCCTTCGACAATACATTGGACAAAAGTAGGGTTTAATTGCACTAGAAGATGGAAAATAAAGTGCTTTTTTTTGCAAGGTTTGGTCAGGTCAGGGGTTATAGTTCAGTTCCTCATTCCTTGAAGGCACACTGGAACAGCCAAACGAAATCAGTGGACTCAAGTTATAATCTGGGTCATATTTTCTTTCGAAATGTGAAAAGTGTCTGGTTTTTCCTCATTTTCCGTTGCATGGAAGCGAGTTGCGTCGCTGTGAGTTGGAGTCGGGGTTTTCCACCTGTTGGAAGCCGCAGCGAAACAGCCGCGATGCAACAGTTGGGATTAGAAAAATGCTTTTGGTCCGAAAGCAACGTCGCCTGCTTCGTGCTTTGCCTCTTTTCCCTTTGGCCCCATTTGGTACTCTCTTTCTTTCTGCGCCGGGGGGAGAGAAACCTCCAACAAATTAATCGGGCACATGAGCAATTTAATGCACAAAGCCCGGGCTCCTTTTGTGCGCGCTAATGAATGCACGCCTCCGTTTCTCGCCCCCCCCTTCCCCATTTTGCGCCGGCTCCTCACTTTTGCCGAAGCCCCTGCTACCGACGCTGGATGCTCTAAATCTTGTTTCCTTTCATTCAAGGGATGACAGCTGGGATTCGGTCGAAAATTCGGCCCCTATTGTCGGGGAAAGCAGATTAATGCTATGTGACTAATCAGGGAGG